AAGTGAAAGCATTCTTTGTTAGGGAACTTGGGAAATATTTGATCCTAAGGTTTTCGTTGTTCGCTATTTCCCTGGCCTCTATCAAATATCTAGCCACATGTTCGACAGTAGATTCTGTCGTATCCCTTGAAAATTTGGTAAACTTGGGAACCTTTCCCCTAGGGGGTAAGTCTGTTTGCAGAATATATTCTGACAATGGGGATGTGAAGTTTGGTCTGTGAAAACCAATGTTCATCCCATTCCAAATCATAATCCTTTTGATCATGGCAGTCAAATTATTGTCTGTTCCATAATTTTGGTGTTGAACTTGCTGTATCAATTCATCAGCATTTTGGTTTCTATTCACCATTATCACTCCTTGATCAATTTCTCTAGGCATTGGGGGGGGGGGGATTTTGAGGTATTTTGACCCCAGGTTTTTCCATTTCTACTCTAGGGATCTGAGGATTTTGATTAACAGTCAAATCCTCTTCCACGATTACCCCTTGGTTTACTCTTATTGGTATCCTTTGGGGTTGTCGAATAGTTTGGGGCACCCCAAAGAATTCACCCATACGCGTCATTTGCGCTGTCATTTGTTGGTTCGACTGGGTAGTATTTTGAATGAGGGGGTTTAGCACTGTACTTAGAGTTTGTGCCAACATTTGCACCATATCATGATTACTTTCGTCCATCTATTGTCTTAAAATTGCTGTAGAAGCATTTATGAGGCTTGGTATTGCATGAGATGGCCCTCACAAAAATTGGTTTCTACCCAAATTTTCCATACTGGCTCCAGATCCCTGTAATGGTGATAATGCACTCACCAAAAGTTCTGAAAAAGTAGAAGCAGCATTCATAAGGCTATCCATTTCAGTGGTTGGCATGCCATATGGCTGTTCTCGACCCATCTAGGCTGTCGAAAATCCTGGGGGCACGAATGGTCGAGATCCTATATTTGCCCTTGGTGGGGGCGTTCCTAATGGACCTCTTGGACCCACATACGAAAGTAAGGGTCCCGTTTGATTTTTAATTAGCGTTGGTATTGAGCCAACGGAAGTTGAGATATTTTCTCTGACGATGGTAATAACCGTTGTTCCAGTAGTATTTGGCGGAGGTATTTCTCCATGATTTGGCTCGTTAGCCATGCTACTCTCGCTATTTTTCTTCCTAACAGTACACTCGTTGGTTATTCTACCACTTCTTAATAACATGCAACGTTATAAATGTACAAAAAGAAAAGCAATAACATGAACATGATATTTAATAAAAATTAGCAACGTTCCACCAGGTGTGCCAATTTGTTTACCGCGGTTTTTGGTAAACAACCGCTGATCCTCTAAAAAGGAAAGTCCTTTTGGTTACTCGCGGGATCGATCAGATTGATCCTAGAACATATGCTAACTTTTATACTGGGTTGATGTAAAATAAAAAGAAATCCAGGAAGAACGCACGTTCGACCAAAGACAAGATACTTGTGGTTTTGGAGAGTAAGAAAGTTAATAAAATGCAGGTAAAGATGCAGGAATAGTAACTTTGCAAAATAAGATCAAAGCAATGTAAAAAGACTTTATTAATGAAAAATGGTGTTTCCAACGTACATTTCTCAGTTTATCCTTTCTCACACAGCGAATACTTGGACAATATTTGAGTAACTAGCCCAATAGGTTGAACACACGGAAAAACTACACAGATTTCCTATTTTATACTAAAAACTATGTAACTGCCGAGGGGTGGTTGTGCTCTAAGATGAGGACAAGTGTCCTCTGCATGTCCCTCGACCTCTAGCTTCCAGCCACATTGCTCTCCTTTAACTGTTGGCGAAACTGTCTTTCCCTCCAATAATTCAAATTCAAATATCCCTCGCCTTTGATGTCGACACGAAGGTATTTTCTTCCAGTCTAAGGTCATAAGACCTTCTCAGTCGAAATCTTGATAGTGAATCCTGGTCGAAGACTAATATGTAACTTAGATATTTTCTCTAAGTTATTTCACATGTCGAAACATTCTTCAGCTTGGTTTTATTTATTCCATTTTTGGTCTAAAAGACCAATATATAGTAGGTGTCGAATTAAGGAGTCAACACCACTACAGCAGAAGATAAGGCAAACATGAAAAATGTACCTTATGCTAGTGTGGTTGGCAGTTTGATGTATGTTATGGTGTGTACAGGTCTGGATATTTCACAAGCGGTAAGTGTTGTTAGTAGATTCATGGTGAATTGGGAAAGGCACATTGGGAAGAAGTTAAATAGATTTTGAGGTACTTAAAAGCTACCATTAACAATGGTTTGTGTTTTAGGGGAGATACATGTCAAATAAGCGGGTTTTTTAATTTGAATTATGCTGGTAATCCAGATAGATAATGATCTACTATTGGTTATGTGTTCAAAATACATAGTGCTCTAGTAAGTTGGTGATCTATTTTACAGTCTACAGTGACCCTATCTACATGGAGGCCAAATATATGGTTGTAGCACAAGGAGTAAAGGAAGCATTGTATGTATCTAAGGGAGGTAGAGAAACACTTCTAAATATCTTGAGCTTGTGTGATTCATATATTGAGAGTTGGAGAGATTATAAAATATTTGGGTAGAAAATAGGGTTTGTTTTTAGAAATTCTAAATGAAATTTTCTTCCAACTCATATTTTAATCTATTGTAGCAACACTTGAAGTATAGTGAACAAAAGAGTTTCTCTCTCTCCCCGAGAGTAGATCATTTGATCAAACTGGGTAAACAAGTTATTGTCTTTAGTTTATGCACTTTATCTTTTTCATGCCAAGTCAAATTGGTGTCTTATTACATTTAGAGTTAATTTTTGTTTGAGGACATTTGTCAGGTTGACATTGTTCTTTGTCCCACACATTAAATTTCTTGGTGTAATTGAACTATGAACAATTCTTCTTAAGTAGTTTTTAATTATTCTATTAATTTCACAACACGTGGTGCTCATTGTAGGGGAAAAGGGATTAAGTTTACAAGTGAGCACCATGAGTTTCAAATGGAAGATCAAGAAATATTATGAAACAAAAATTTTGTGTTACACAAAATAAAGATGCAAGAAATACTAATTCAATAAAGGTGTGCAGAGGCATTCAAAAGTAGGTGGAGTCAAAGATGGTTTAAGAATAATGTTTGTGGGCTTGTTTGATTATCTAATAAGGAAAATGTGATTTGAAACATGTGGATGCAAGTGGTGAGATCAAGATTGAAGGAAGTTTTAAACTTAATCAAGGTTGTTGAATAGTATTTAAACATGGTAGAGAATAACAAGGTGGTTGATGGATAAATTGGCATCACCATGGTTTCAAGTCAATGTGCAGATTGTTGAAGTGTGCCTTAAAATATTAAGTGATGAAGAGAAAGAAAACATATTTTCAAGATTACAAAAACCATAAATTTGCCTGATGGTAGAGCTGGTGACGGAAGCATGATAGTGGGTTTGGGTCTGGTGGACAGTTCGGTTCGTCGAAGCTCGGATGCGAGTTTTTTAGTTCGCGTGTGTCGTGCCTCGAAAAATATAAAACAGTGAAGTCTCCACCAAACTTTTATTTTGTTCCAAATGAACGGGAAAATGTTGACAAAACCCAAGAAGAATGGATAAGAAGGTTATCGCAACCGTGAATGGATTCGGGAATCGGTTATGTAAGGCAAAGGTATTAGCATCCCTCATATTCGTCGTACTCAATGGTACTCATTTAGTTACTTTATGAATGAGTGTTACCGTGAATGTTTGGAATCTTCTAATTAAGAAATGAGAAAAGGAGAATTGTTTTTGGATTTTTTATTATTGTGCTCGTCTCGATTTCAAAACCTTGTGCCTACGTATACTCATGGTGCAATAAGGAAATCAAAGCTTCATAGTTCGGGTAGAAAAATTTGTTAGTTGGTTATTTTTAGTGAGAGATACTCGATCACATTCGAACGAAAACATTGCTACCCAAAACATGGATAATGGAACGTTTGCATCACTCAAGAATGGATAACTGAATCTGGATATGCACAGATTCTGGCCGTTATCACATTCGAGTAGAAAAGGCTCAATATTCATATGTGTAAGGAACGTTGTTTCATCGTCACATGAATGGACAAAATATCACTCGTTTGCAAAGATTTTAAATTAATAAATCCAAGTGGAAAAAGGTTTTAATGAGTTTGAGATTAATTTTATAGGACGCGAGTGTTGGAATACTATGTATGTTGTTCCTCACGTTCAAACACTTAGGAAAAGATAAGGTATGCACCTTAACCCGCCTGTTTAATCCCTTTTATGAAAAAAAATAGTTTTTTAAAAAGAAAAATCGGAGTTGGATCGAGGTTTATTGTAAAATGGCTTGAATTAAGTGAAGAAATTTTATTATGAAAATTGAGATGGGAAGGTTGGTTGCGATGCACAAGACAATCGACTTATTAGGTATGAAAATGGCTCGACGTTGGATCGAGAATTTTTTAGAAGATGATTGAAAGATAGATGGAAAAGAGATGAAATCAAACATAAGATGAAGCATACAAGAATGCAAAAAGATATGGCAAGCAAATATACAAGTATACACACAAGTAAAGAAGGCAAGCAAGCATGATATAATTCTCGCAAGGTGGATAAGAAAAAGAAAATGTTTTTGGACTTTTAAATATTGGGAAGAAAGAAAAAAAACCTATACATATGATACATCTAAAAGGGAAAATACTTTTGATATTTTTAAATATATTTTATATAGAAAAAATATTTTCATTATTTTAAAACTCCTAAATTTCTCTTTTTTTTTCATCAAGTGAAATGAGGATAGTTTTATACTTATTCCATTTTGTATTATATCTCTAATAATAAAACAAATAAAAAAAAACTATGTAGAATAAACAAATATGATAACAAGAAGAAAAAATAAACCAAGGGCAAGAAGCTTAGCGCCCAACAAGAGCATGCGTGGCCCAGAAGAGGAAACAGAGGCTCTTCATAAATTCTAAGTTGGACCGGATCCGGGTATGAGCAAACCGGTTTGCCCTTCAAAGCCATGAATCCATGTTGGAAACCCTAACAACACAACAACGCGCCATTCCGATAAATTCACAAAGTAATGAAACAAATCATTTTCCTCTCTTCAACGCATATTCTCACCGGTGGACTTGGAAACAAGATAATCAGACACAAAAACTTCACAATATCACACACAAAGCCAAAACCCGGCAACCCCAACCCCAATTTTGTGATTCTCATTATGATTTGAGGGATTACAATTACATGGTTGATAAAGCGTAAATGGAGTGGAAAAAAAAGACAGTGAATCAAAATCTATAACAAAGGTATTACACTTTTCTCTTCTTCGATTCTTCTTCTTCTTCTTCTTCTTCTTCTTATTCTTAGTCAATTTTGTCTCTTGTTGTTGTTATTGTGTATTGCTCTATTGCTTCGTATCTGAGCGTGTGTGTTTGTCTTGGTGTTGGGTATTATAAGTGTGGATATGTGGTGAGATGAGTTGATTATGGCGGTAAAGGTGTGAGAATAAAAGTATGAAGGTTGATGCATAGAGGATGAAGTGTGGTTAGATGATTTTCTGAAAATGGATTGATGAAGTTACTAAAGGTTTATAGCAGAGGTGTTTTGCAGTGATAATGATGTGAATAAATGAGTGAAGTTATGAGGGATTTGTGGTGTTATTTGAGCAGAGGTTCAATATGGTTTTCAGTGGATTCTGGTCTGGATTTGAGTAGAGGTTAGGAGCAGAGTTTTTTCTGTGAGGTTTTGATGTCGATTTCTCTTTTTTGAATGAGAGTGAAGAGGTTGTATTATATAGAAAGAGGAGAGTGAGGGCAGAAGGTGAATTATGTGTATAAATAAGATAAGATCATAAGATATCTGTGAGAGTGAGGGAGAGGAAATCGTGGAATTTCTTGGAGGTGAATTCTATATATGTCAAAAGTTGTCATTTCTTGTCTTTTGTGAACTATTCTAGAAGAGTATATGGTATTGTATTGATGTTGTGTATTTTGCAGGTATCCTTTGCAGGTTTGTATGGATGATGTATGAGGTGAAGTCGTGCCTACAGTGATGATGGAATAAGTCCTTCTATTTTTTCTGATTTTAATCTATACAATACATCTAAATGCAATGTACTCTCTTTTTTTCTATAATAACAATACTGCTAATGAAACTTATTACTACTAAACAATTATTATTAATACTACTATTTTTGTTGTTATTTTTTTCTTCTAAAAGCTACTAAAAGATAATTTATAAAATGATGGTTCAAAAGTGATAAAACAAACATGAAAAAAATGGATAATTAGATTTAAATAATGGATATTAAAAGATGTTTGGAAGTTAAAGTGGGTTAAAAAGGAATGGATAATTATATGGATATGAAAATGGATTTGAATATGGAACAAAGGGATTTAAAATGGATTCGATATGATAAATGGATAAAAATAGACATGTGAAATGAACTAAAAATAAACAAAAATAAATGAATGGACATGTTGTACCCCAAAATTTTCTCTCTCATTTTACTCAATATATACTCCTAGAGATCCTCAAGTTGCTCATGTTTGCCCAAGAGTTGACCTGACAAACTCTCTCCTAAGGCAATGTACCTCAAATTAGGGTTTCTATGTTCATCAAGATATGTGGACTCCAAGAACCTAATATACTCTCCATGGTCTTAATATGTTCTCAAGACCCTACATGTCAAGTTTCTTGCCTTGCACAAGAAGTTTGCTCAATCAATTGCTCAGATGTTTGAGAATCGACTGTATTAGGTCAAAAGTCAACTGTGACCCACATACAGTCAAACTTCAAGATTTTTGGTCAACATTAACATTTTTAAGTGAATTTCATCATTTGATCAAGGGTTGATCATGATTCTTCAAAGAATGCTCTAAATTCATCAAAACCCAAAAGTTGCTAAATTAGGGTTTCTTAGTAAAAGTCAACCAAGCTTTGACCAAGCATAACTTCCACATTCTTCATCAGAAATTTTCCATCCAAGTCTTATTTTGAAGAGGATGCAATTCCCTACAATTCATCTTCAGCTCACAAGTTCAAAATATGCACCCACAAAAGATATGAATTTATACATTATGGATCATTTTGAAAAGTCAACAAAAACACCTTTTGGGTCAAAGCTTCTTACACGAACATGGAAGAATCAATTGAGATGAGACAAAAAGGGTTGCTTAAGGGACATCCTAAGATTTCTAAAAAGTCCAAGAACACCTCTCTAGGGTTAAAATTGGAGGATATATGCCTTGTCAAAGTTGACAATTTTTTGCAAAATTGCCAAAAGTCAAATGTGCTCAAAAATGCATTTTTTGCTAAATGGGCCTAACTTTTTATGCTTGCACCTCACTTATAATGTGGTCCACGACTCAAATATTCATCCACACATTATTTTTCTTCATTTTTCAATTTATTTTGATTTTTTATTAATTAAAAATTGAATTAAATCAAATAATTGATGAATAATAGCAAAGATATGATTTGGTTTTTGGACAGGTTGGCAATCAAAATATGCTGAGTTATCAAGGCCAAAACGAATCAAGCAAAATTGGTACAAGAAAGGGATGATTTGGCTCAAAATAGCAAGTTTACATGTAGCATGAAAATCAAATGAAATCTCTCATAATTGCAAAGATTCAATCCAATTTTGCAACCCTAATTCATTCCTAGATATATATTGGACAAGAACAAAGCATGGGACAAGGTTTTGCAGTCGTGAAAGTGAGAGAACAAGAAGCTCAAAAATTGGACAAAAGTGGTGAATTGGTTTCAATCATACAGGCCATCTCAAGCCCTCCCTGCATTGCCAATTGATTGTTGAACGTCTCAGGAAGCCTTTTCAATCAATCACAAGCCCTTTCACGCCTAGAAATAGCTTGTATGAACATTACGGTTTGCTTTATTTTTTGAAAACGATTACATCAATTCCTGCATTGTTAACACATTTGATTGGCATATTTGTGATCTTTATCATGTTTGCAAGCTAACTGAATGGTTTAATTTCATTTTTGAAGCATATATCTGTACTTGCCATTGTTAGGGTTTGAAGCCACATTTTGGGGCTTCTTGACACAGGAAAAATTAGGCTACGAATAAGGTTCCATGATGCTCGTGAGGCCAAGACGAGTTGATTAGTACAATCACAATTAATTTATCATGCATGTACTGGATTTTTGAGTCTTATAGGTTTGTAGCTACAGACTTTTGTCTGTAGGTTAATGTACAAAAACCTAAGGCGACGGAGAAAGGTAGAAGAAGGTTATGTGTCAGCCAGCCATTCGCCCATTTGAAATTTCGCGCGCGTGGGATTCAGTGACTTATTTTCTTTATATTATATTTTATTTTCATTATACTAAAAATTCAAACACATAGCGCAGCTGGCAAGGCATATGGTTTGTAAACATAAGGACGTGGGTTCGATCCCAGGTCCCAGCATTTCTTTATTTTCTTTTCTTTCTACAGATCTGATGTATCACCTGCCTAGACGACTACCGTACGCTGCCAATCTCCAGCCAATGGATTCATCATTCATTCAATCCAACGTATAGGCAGTGAGGGACCATGGTGCACCCTCAAGTCAACGCTACAAGAGATCAGGAGCTGACTGGGCTTGGAGCATTTTTGGGCTTGAAAAATCCAGATTTAATCCCCCCATTTGCTAGTGCATACAGGCCCAGTTTGCATTTTCTTTTCTATTTTCTTTTTAATTTCTTTATTTGTTTTAATTAATTAACACAAAAAATTATTATTTTTACAAAACAAAAAAATCACAAAAATACATAATTAATTATTTATTCAAATTAATATTTTTTTTGAAAATAAATTAGGTTAATTAGTTTATTTGATTATTTTGTTTCAATTAAAATTAAATAGAAATTAGGTTTTAAATTTTGTAATTAAATTTCTTTCTCAAATAAAAACCACAAAAATACACAATCTTTTTTTTACAAAATATTTTATTTTCTTGAAATTATTTAATTTAGTTTAAATTAGGGTAATTTCAATTTCTTTTATAATTAAAAAGCAATTAGAAATTACGATTTTATTTAATTTGCAATTTCATTGTTTTCTCCAATAAAAAATGTACAAAAATCTTTTTTCTTTCAATTAGGGTTTAGGTTATTTTTCAACATCCCTCGTATTTAATTCGCCGCATATTTAATTATTTCTTTTCCATTATTTTTGTAACTGTCAATGATTTGTAATAGTTGAACTAGGGTTTTATTTACTGCTTTAATCCCCGATTCTTTGGTTATGTAATTAATCCCCATCCCCCGAAGCCTTGTAATAGCTAGGTTTATTTTTCTCACTTTTAAATTCCTGCAAATATTTAACTGTCTAGATGTATGCTAATAGGATTGTATGGCAAGAATATCTGGAAATTTAAACGGTAGATCACCCAATGTGCAAAGATTAAATAACTGAAACAACTCATATGCACATATTCACTCCTAGGGTTTACCTCACTTTGGTTTCCTTCGGTAAACAATCATTAAGCATAGGAGATTTTAGTGGTTGCCCTCCAGTCTAAAAAGATCAAATTGTCCCATTCGAATGTTGCCTCAGAAATGTTGCCTCGGAAAGATCTTAAGACTCTAGGGTTACTACTAAAGTTTTCTAACTGTTGCTTTAGTGAGTGTACTTGTCCCTTTCGAATGTCCTTTACAACTCCAACGACGGTGCTACCTACTCCTTAATAGTAGGTGATCTGACCTGATCAGGAGGTTTGGACCGTCACGGCTGGCTCCGAGCAGAAAGCTTTTTGAACGAGGAGGGGGGGGGGGGGGTACCTGCAAGGCACTCCGATGCTAAAGTCAGTGGGAGTACGAGCAGATAATAGAGTTGAGGTTAGAATGATGAATACCTGACCCTCTGGAAACAGAGGGTATTTATAGCCCCCAGCGCTGGGCCAAGGTTCCTTCATTGGGCCGGGCGGATTTGGCCCAATGGAGGAACTGCCAGGTTCTACGTGGGTAGTGGGGACCTGCACGTGGTCCCCTTCCTGGATGTGCCGCGTGAAGTGCGGGAGGACGGAGACGCGGTCTTTCCGGAGTATCGTTGGGGGAACGGTGGACTGAGTCTGCCCTAGCCGGGTAGCTCGAGACCATGTCGAGCTGCGCAGCACGGTGCCGAGCTCGACGCCAGGACCTCGAGCTGGACAGCGAGTGTCGAGCTGGACGCCAGGACATAGAGCTAGACGACAGGGTGTCGAGCACGACTTCACCGCGTGGGGTTGAACATCGAGATGTCGAGGTGGACATCAG